GTCTGGCTTATTTCATTTAACATAATGTTCTCCAGGTCCATCCATGTTGCTGAAAATGGTATATATTCATACATATATACACATCACCTTTTCTTTATCCGTTTTTTTCCACTGACAGACATATGTTTCTTCCAATTTGTTGCTATTTCAAACAATGCTACAATGCTTTAATAATAACTTAACAATTATTATAAGAAAAAATTTAAAACATTCTTTGCTTCTGTTTCCCAGTTAGATAATCAGCCTGACTTTCATCTTTGCATCCTCAGTGCCTACCCTGATGCTTGGCATATAGCAGATATTAAATTAAGATTTTTTTCTAATTTAGGTTTAATTGAATTTAAATGAGGAAGCTAACCAATGCAAACATTTGAATGCGATACCGTAATTCTAAAGTTAAGTTTATGGCACAGCAAAGACAATAGTATACAAATCTATAGTACTCCGCATACTTGGTCTTTGATTTACAATTCACCAGAAAAAGGAAAAGTAACAGTGCAACTCAGAAGAAATGCAAGAAGTGCGGGACAGGCCCAGCCAGCGTGGCACAGGGTTGAGTGGAGACCTCTGAACCAGGACATCACTGGTTTGATTCCCAGTCAGGGCATGTGCCCAGGTTGCGGGCTCGATCCCCAGTAAGGGGTATGCAGGAGGCAGCAGATCTCATCATTGACGTTTCTATCTCTCTCTCCCTCTCCCTTCCTCTCTGAATTCAATAAAAAATATATATTTTTTTTTAAAAAGAAATGACAGCCGAAACCGGTTTGGCTCAGTGGATAGAGCGTTGGCCTGCGGACTGAAAGGTCCCAGGTTCGATTCCGGTCAAGGGCACGTACCTGGGTTGCGGGCACATCCCCAGTGGGAGATGTGCAGGAGGCAGCTGATCGATGTTTCTCTCTCATCGATGTTTCTAACTCTATCTCTCTCCCTTCCTCTCTGTAAAGAATCAATAAAATATATTTAAAAAAAAAAAAGAAATGACAGACAGGACTGTGAGGGTATAATTGCAATTAAAAGACTGCTTGTATGCCTGAACCGGTTTGGCTCAGTGGATAGAGCGTTGGCCTGCGGACTCAAGGGTCCCAGGTTCGATTCCGGTCAAGGGCATGTACCTTGGTTGCGGGCACATCCCCAGTGGGGGGTGTGCAGGAGGCAGCTGATCGATGTTTCTAACTCTCTATCCCTCTCACCTTTCTCTCTGTAAAAAAAAAAAAATCAATAAAATATATTAAAAAAAAAAAGACTGCTTGTATGACCCTAGCTTTCTAGGTCCCCAATACCCAAGATGCTAAAGAGATTCTAACTCCTCACAGAGATGTTAGTGGAAATAAGTAGACTATAGAATTCTTAGTCTTACCAGTGAGAGAAATAAAATGAAACAAAACAGCCCTAACCGTTTTTGGCTTGCTGGATAGAGTGTGAGCCCATGGACTGAAGGGTCCCAGGTTCAATTCTGGTCAATGGAGTGTACCTCGGTTGCAGGCTCAATCTCCGGCCCTGATCAGGAGGCATGCGGGAGGCAACCAATCAATGCACCTCTCTCACATCGAGGTTTCTCTCTCTGTGTCTCTCCCCGTCCCTTCCACTCCCAAAAAATCAAAAAATCAATGGAAAAAATATCCTCAGGTGAGGATTAACAACAAAAAGAAACAAAACAATCAATGTCCCGGACTAGAAATTAGCCCATCAATACATACGTACAACTCTGTCATACTTACTCTGAGCTCTTTTGGGCCTGAATGGATTGAAAGCAAGTGTAGAGTACCCGGCCAGTCTACAAAAAAATAAATAAATAAAAAAGAAAGATAGGTCACACAGAGAAGGATTAATTTTGAAAAAGGTATAGCAATGTTGTGGACTCTAACCTCAAGTTCAAAGAGCACTCTGAAAGTGGAAGGTTAAAAGAGATCACAGAGATGGCATATGCCATAAATCAGCTTCTGTAAGTATCATGTAACTAACTCAACACACAGTGGCCACAATCACATGGATGGACCTGGAGAGCATCATGCTAAGTGAAATAAGTCAGTCGGAGAAAGATAAATATCATATGGTCTCACTCATTTGTGGAATATAATGAACAACATAAACTGATGAACAAAAATAGAGCCAGAGGGAAAAAATAATATTTTAGAATATAATAGAAGTAATCCTGTTATTTGCAGATTTTTAATATTTCCTACAACTTTTTTGATATCCTACTATGTTAGTACAGTTTTGGTAATATTATTATACTTAAAATCCTTTTTTTCTTGAAATATTCATGTTTATTGCATGTAATATTATATTTAAGATAGTTTTTCTCGAGTAATTGGTGTTTACTGTATGTAACATTATTATATTTAAAATCATTTTTGTGAGATACTGTTTATTGTATGTATTATATTTAAGATTGTTTTTCTTAAAATATTAATGTTTATTGCATGTAACATTATTATATCTAAAATCATTTTTCTTGAAGTAAAAAAAAGTTCTCATTTGAAAAAAACAAAACAAAACAAAACACACAGTGGGCACAATCAAACATCTGCTCATATGATAGTAGAGAACTGCTCACAAACATGAGAACTGAGAAGCTAAGAACCACAATATTCAGACTGCTCTGTTGGAAACCAACACACTTATTCAATAGCCATTTATAATGACAACAAACAAATTTATGACGACAAAACCAAAAGCATTTCAAAGAAAGTATAAAGTTCAAAATACTGAACTTCACTTTGTGGAAACGTGATTTTATGGCCCAGCCAACATGGCTTAGTGTTTGATTGTTGACCTATGAACCAGGAGATCATGGTTTGATTCCAGTCAGGTCTCATGCGTGGGTTGTGGGCTCGATCCAGTGGGGGCTGTGCAGGAGACAGCCGATCAGTGATTCTCTCTCATCATTAACGTTTCTATCTCTCTCTCCCTTCTTCTCTGAAATCAATAAAAATATTTTTTCAAGGTGATTTTATGAAGAATATTCATTGTTAACATAGATTCTGAGAATATAACTGATGAGCTAATGATAGGACTCACTTGATATTGTTGGCAAAATTCATACCAACAATGTTAAAAAGTCATTTTCTTTTTGTTTGAATGGACACCTAGCAAAATCTCTTAACATGAACATAAAATTCAAACAGAAGCACTCTAAATAGAGAGTGGCAAGACTAGCCATTGATCAGATTGCTTAACATCTCTGAGCTTCAGTGTACTCATCCATAAAATATGGATAATAATGGATCCTCATTGGCTTGTTATCAGGGTTAGAGCATATTTATGTAAAACACCTAATAAGTATGTGCCATACAATAAGATGGCACTTGTTACTATTATTAGCCATCAAAATATATTCAGAATCTGGCCACTTCACATTGCCTCCATTCCTACCACTATGGTCAAACCTCCATCATTTCTTGCTAGATTACTATAATATCTTCCTAACTTCTTTCATGGATCCATGGATTCCATAGCCCTCCCCCAATCCCACCCTAATCCTTATGCAAACCTTATGCAAATTATTATTAACACAGTAACCAAAAATTTCCCATCATCGTAATAAAAGGCTAATATGCAAATAGTCATCATGCCATCACGCAAATCAGCAGGGACCTGAGGCTGTGCCCCCTGGGGTGGGAACCTGAGGCTGTGTCCCCTGCCTGGCGGGGCTTGATGGGGGACCTGAGGCCACGCCCCCCTGCCTGGCAGGGCTTGATGGGAGACCCGAAGCCACGCCCCTGCCCTGCGGGGCTTGACAGGGGACCTGAGGCCACAATCCCCTAAGGCCATGCCCCCCGCCCTGGCACCTGGGCTGGGGCACCTGAGGCCGCACCCCCTGCCCTGGAGCCGGGGGACCTGAGGCTGCGCCCCCCGCCCTGGTGCCAGGACGTGAGGCTGCATCCCCCGCCCGGCAGGGCTTGATGGGCATGGGGCCAGCCAGGTCTTGGTGTCGCCCAATGGGGATGGGGCCAGCCAGACACTTCTATTATAGAGAAAGGACGAATAGCAATATTAAAATATTTCCTCTAATTAATTCCCTGAATTTCATGCACTGGGCCACTAGTTCAAACATAAAATCACCCTCTAGTGCAGTGATTTTCAACTGGTGTGCCACGGTACTCTGGTGTGCTGCAAGGATTTTTAAAACGTGCAATATCTGACTAGGCACTGACCTCTTTTCCCTTAGAATTCAAATGAAAAATGACAAAAGCTGCCCAGCTGGCATGGCTCAGTGGTTAAGCATTAACCTATGAACCAAGAGGACATGATTCAATTCTTGGTCAGGGCACATGCCTGGGTTGCGGGCTCGATCCCCATTAGGGGACGTACAGGAGGCAGCTGATAAGTGATTACCTCTCATCATTGATGTTTCTATCTCTCTCTCCCTTCCTCTCTGACTGTCATCATCTTGCTACGTTCTGATATGAGGATGTATCGAGACGCACATTCGCCTGAGCAGCTATCTGCATACTCATCTGAGTCTGAGAATATCTTAGTGTATGATGAGGAGTCGCTGTTTCTTCACACATATATTTGATTGTGTATCTACAGAGAGTAAGCGAGAGGGATAGCCTTAGAAGCATCATTGAGAGAGAAACATTGATCTCTGCCTCTGCACACCCCTTACTGGGG